AACATTCCGACCTTAAACCCATGGGGAGTACTTAGAAACATCATGTAACACAACATCCATCGCTGAATTCACTCATGCATTGTTCCTGGTACTGCTCAACAATTCTTGTGTAGAAGCCGGCTCTTAGAAATTTCACGAAGATTCTTGTCAAACCATTAAGAGCGACGCCATATAATTCCTCGTTGGGGATACCATGTGTGTCCCTGATGATGTTAGGGAGAAGTACGTTCATCGTATCTCCACTTAACGTACCACGAACCAGCTCTATGCAGATAGTATTTACTCTTCATACTGTAGGTTCAGCCATTTTGATATCCCAAACTGAGCAGCGCACGTCCTCACTACTCGATGGTTGTTGATGTACTGAGGGAGCTCGCCTGAAGACAGCAGAGGGGTGCCGAGCACAACCGCACTCCACCGTGGTCAGGCAGCGAATGTAATGAAATGTATGTCAATTATTGCTAAGAAATATGAAATTGATACTAAGCGTACCATCATAAATCTTGTTACTGTCTACATACCCCATCAGGAACTTTGATCTGGCATCACATGCTGGGCAAAACTGCAATAGTTAATCTTCATATCTACCCTACAGAATCGAAAATCGAAATCTCTCTAGTCTCAAGTAAACCTTTTTGTATAGTTGCTGGCAAAAACATTTAAGAATAGTACGGCTGACTAGTGATGTAATATCGTGGCGTAACTAAATATGTGTGGAGTAACTAATGCAGTTTCTTTTAACTCTTGACAATACATTTAAATATTTCACCCTACACGGTTTAAATTAATAGAAAATCTTAACCAGGCTGGAATATAAATATAAAATGCACTTTGGCTGCCCGAGACCAAATTTCCCTGGTGACCTATGACTCTGCCACTAAAGACTAGTCTCGTGCAGGATAGATGGCGGTTGCTGCCACCATGACCTACTAAAGGGACAATGGATCCCTCATTTGTGAATGACCTGAGCACCACTGTCTTCTCGCACCCATGATAGTGCCGATACCACTGAACGGATGGTCTAAGACCATTTTTTGGAGACTTTTTTTTTTTTTTTTTTTTTTTTTTTTTTTTTTTTTTTTTTTTTTGTCTAGTCTAAGGTAATAGCCTATCGGCCAGGCTCTTGTAGTCTTGAGTTGTCAACATCCTGACTGATGGGGTACGTCTTGCAGGAACTTGTCTGGTCAGCTTGCTGATTTCCAGCCTTTTTATATTTTTTATATTATCACACCGGCCGATCCCACCAAGGCGTAGGGTGGCCCCGAAAAAGAAAACTTTCACCATCATTCACTTTCCCTCCAAGTCTTGCCAGAAGGTGCTTACACTACAGTTTTTAAACTGCAACATTAACACCCCTCCTTCAGAGTGCAGGCACTGTACTTCCCATCTCCAGGACTCAAGTCCGGCCTGCCGTTTTCCCTGAATCCCTTCATAAATGTTTTCTTTGCTCACACTCCAACACACGTCAAGTATTAAAAACCATTTGTCTCCATTCACTCCTATCAAACACGCTCACGCATTCCTGCTGGGAAATCCAACCCCTCGCACACAAAACCTCCTTTAAACCCCCCCCCTCCAACCCTTCCTAGGCCGACCCCTACCCCGCCTTTCCTTCCACTACAGACTGAACACTCTTGAAGTCATTCTGTTTCGCTCCATTCTCTCTACATTCCGAACCACCTCAACAACCCTTCCTCAGCCCTCTGACAACAGTTTTGGTAATCCGCCCTCCTCCTAACTTCCAAACTACGAATTCTCTGCATTTTAATTCACACCACACATGCCCTCAGACATGACATCTCCACTGCCTCCAGCCTTTTCCTCGCTGCAACATTCATCACCCACGCTTCACACCCATAAAAAGCGTTGGTAAAACTATAACCTCATACATTCCCCTCTTTGCCTCCAAGGACAAAGTTCTTTGTCTCCACAGACTCCTAAGTGCACCACTCACTCTTTTTTTCCCCATCAATTCTATGATTCACCTCATCTTTCATAGACCCATCCGCTGACACGTCCACTCCCAAATATCTGAATACGTTCACCTCCTCCATACTCCTCTCCCTCCAATCTGAATTCAAACTTTCATCACCTAATCTTTTGTTATCCTCATAAACCCTTTCTCTTTCCTGTATTCACCTTTAATTTCCTTCTTTTGCACACCCTACCAAATTCATCCACCAATCTCTGCAACTTCTCTTCAGAATCTCCCAAGAGCACAGTGTCATCAGCAAAGAAACACTGTGACAACTCCCACTTTTTGTGTGATTCTTTATCTTTTAACTCCACGCCTCTTGCCAAGACCCTCGCATTTACTTCTCTTACAAACCCCCTCTATAAATATATTAAACAACCACGGTGACATCACACATCCTTGTCCTAAGGCCTACTTTTACTGGGAAAAAATTTCCCTTTTTTCCTACATACTCTAACTTGAGCCTTTACTATCCTCGTAAAAACTCTTCACTGCTTTCATAACCTACCTCCTAACACCATACCTTGCAACATCTGCCACATTGCCCCCCTAATCCACCCTGTCCATACGCCTTTTCCAAATCCATAAATGCCACAAACACTCTTTAGCCTTTTCCAAATACTGTTCACTTATATGTTTCACTGTAAACACCTGGTCCACACACCCCCAAACCTTTCCTAAAGCCTCCTTGTTCATCTGCTATCCTATTCTCCGTCTTACTCTTTAAATTTTTTCAATTATAACTCTACCATACACTTTACCAGGTACACTCAACAGACTTATCCCCCCATAATTTTTGCACTCTCTTTTATCCCCTTTGCCTTTATACAAAGGAACTATGCATGCTCTCTGCCAATCCCTAGGGACCTTAACCCTCTTCCATACTTTATTAAATAATTGCAAACCCAACCACTCCAAAACTAATCCCCACCTGCTTTTAACCCTTTCTATCTTTATCCCATCAATCCCGGCTGCCTTACCCCCTTTCATTTTACCTACTGCCTCACGAACTTCCCCCACACTCACAACGGCTCTTCCTCACTCCTACAAGATGTTATTCCTCCTTGCCCTATACACGAAATCACAGCTTCCCTATCTTCAATCAACATTTAACAATTCCCAAAATATTCTTCCATCTTCCCAATACCTCTAACTCTCCATTTAATAACTCTCCCCTCTCCTATTTTTAACTGACAAATCCATTTGTTCTCTAGGCTTTCTTAACTTGTTAATCTCACTCCAAAACTTTTTTCTTATTTCAACAAAATTTTTTGATAACATCTCACTCAGTCTCTCCATTTGCTCTCTTTTTTCATTGCTTCAAACCCCTCTCTTAACTTTTCTCTTTTTCTCCATATACTCTTCCCTCCTTGCATCACTTCTACTTTTTAAAACTTCTCATATGCTAACTTTTTCTCCCTTACTACTCTCTTTACATCACATTCCACCAATCGCTCCTCTTCCCTCCTGCACCCACTTTCCCTGTAACCACAAACTTCTGCTGACACTCTAACACTACATTTTTAAACCTACCCCATACCTTCGACCCCATTGCCTATGCTCCATTAGCCCATCTATCCTCCAATAGCTGTTTATATCTTACCCTAACTGCCTCCTCTTTTAGTTTATAAACCTTTACCTCTCTCTTTCCCTGAAGCTTCTATTCTCCTTTTATCCCATCTACCTTTTTCTCTCAGTGTAGCTACAACTAAAAGTGATCTGATATATCTGTGGCCCCTCTATAACATGTACATCCGAAGTCTACTCAACAGTCTTTTATCTACCAATACATAATCCAACAAACTACTGTCATTTCGCCCTACATCATATCGTGTATACTTATTTATCCTCTTTTTCTTAAAATATGTATTACCTATAACTAAACCCCTTTCTATACAAAGTTCAATCAAAGGGCTCCCATTATCATTTACACCTGGCACCCCCAAACTTACCTACCACACCCTCTCTAAAAGTTTCTCCTACTTTAGCATTCAAGTCCCCTACCACAATTACTCTCTCACTTTGGTTCAAATGCTCCTATACATTCACTTAACATCTCCCAAAATCTTTTCTCTCTCCTCTGCATTCCTCTCTTCTCCAGGGGCATACACGCTTAATTTTGACCCACTTCTCGCATCCAACCTTTACTTTTTAATCCACATAATTCCTTGAATTTTCACACTTCATATTCTCTTTTCTCCTTCCATAACTGATCATTTAACATTACTGCTACCCCTTCCTTTGCTCTAAAATCTCTCAGATACTCCAGATTTTTAATCCCCTTTATTTCCCCCCACTGAAACTCTCCTACCCCCTTCAGCTTTGTTTCGCTTAGGGCCAGGACATCCAACTTTTTTTCATTCATAACATCAGCAATCATCTGTTTCTTGTCATCCGCACTACATCCAACGCACATTTAAGCAACCCAGTTTTATAAAGTTTTTCTTCTTCTCTTTTTTAGAATTGTATACAGGGGAAGGGTTACTAGCCCATTGCTCCCGGCATTTTAGTCCCCCTCATACGACACGCAAGGCTTACGGAGGAAAGATTCTTTTCCACTTCCCCATGGACAATAGAAGAAATAAAAAAAGAACAAGAGCTATTTAGAAAAAGGAGAAAAACCTAATGTATGTATATATATATATGCATGTGCGTGTCTGTGAAGTGTGACCAAAGTGTAAGTAGGAGTAGCAAGATATCTCTGTTATCTTAGCGTGTTTATGAGACAGAAAAAGAAACCAGCAATCCTACCATCATGCAAAACAGTTACAGGTTTTTGTTTCACAGTCATCTGGCAGGACGGTAGTACTTCCCTGGGTGGTTGCTGTCTACCAACCTACTACCTAGCCTTTATGGTAATATTTCTTGTTTCCTACGAGGAGGTTCAAGAATTTACCTCTGATTAAATGTTCTTATTTTGTTTAAAAAGTTATTTACCACATTTGTATCTGTTGTGCTCGCAGTTGAGAGCAAGAACGTGGTAATTAGTGGATGTAGCAGTGATATTTGCTTTTTTGTCTGTCAGGAGTGTCACTTAAAAAGAAACAGCTGTGGACCTTGGAACCCGCCGAGAAAGACCTCATTGCCTTCAAGTCTCACCTTGATAAATACATCTCCGTGGACCAAGTAAGACGGCACACTATTAATTGTCATTGTAATTAATGTATTTCTTATAAGGTTTAAGCATTTCATTGTTTAACGTGTCTAATCTTGCAGTACGGTAATGTGACTTGTGAGAGCGAAGAGAGGGAAATGTCATGCATGTTCGAGGTGTCTGTGACCGACGACGAGCACGGGCGGTGGGCATTGCGCAACGTGTCTCGAGGCTACTTCCTAGGCGCTGGCGGCGACAAGCTTATCTGTAGTGCCAAGGTGCCTACGGACGCTGAGCTGTGGACTATACACCTTGCTGCCAGGCCACAAGTAAGTTTTATATCATTAACATGCATGTTGTCATACCTGGTTTGTTGCCGATACAGCTCTAAAAGGACTTTGCTCTAAACTTTTGTGGTACAGGTGAACCTCAGGTCGCTAGGGCGTAAGCGATATGCCCACCTGAACGAGGAGGGAACGGAGATTGAGGTAGACGCTAATGTTCCATGGGGAGAAGATACACTGTTCACACTAGAATTCAGAGACAACAAATACGCCATCCATACCACTAACAATAAGTACTTGTCTATGGACGGTAAGCTGGTGGCAGATTGCAGCCGGGAGTGCCTCTTCTGCCTGGAGTACCATCATGGCTCCTTAGCCCTTAGAGATTACCAGGTCAGTCCCTCCTTGATAGTTCTAACGACATGCCAAACCATTAATAATTTTCACTCTTGATTTTATAAAGAAAATGAATTCTGTAGTTTAACCTGAAATAAGTCTTTTAAAATACTTCGTGGGTAGATGTAGTTAGTATTTATCATATTTGTAATTGACCTAAACAGGGCCAATACCTGAGCCCCATTGGATCTCGCGCTGTGCTCAAGACTCGCTCCAATACAGTTACAAAGGACGAGCTGTTCGCCCTGGAGGATTCTCTTCCCCAGGCTTCCTTCAGCGCGCTCCTCAACGCCAGATACGTCTCCGTCAAACAAGGTGAGAACACCCACAAAACATTCAAACGTTAAGCTAATGCAACAATTTTTAATTGTCTTGGCTGGTCTTCTAACTTTTTGGTTTGTTTACTGTTGAAAGTAAATAAGTCTTAATCAAGTGTCACATTTACCAACGTGTCGGGTTTTGTAAAAAATTTATTCACACGGCATGCATAGTAAATGTCTGCAGCTCAGGACACGTCAATCTCATGGCTGCATAATCCTTCTCTCATCCACCTACCTGAGCCATCCATAACTTTATGCAGGGATAACTAGCAATTAGTAGCAGCAGCGTTGGCATATTTTTGTATAATTGCTAGTTTTTGGTTTAGGATCCGTAAAGGGGGGGGGGTGCAATGATGCTGGTGAAGGGCTATTGATCAAATGAATAGCAGCTCTCCTTTGATTACCTCCCATTCCCCAGTGCTTCTAATTAGTTTGGCAGCTATTTTCTAGTCATTATACCTGCTTGCTTGTAATAGATAAGAACTCGTTCAGTTAGTTTTTAGGGCAATTTAAGCTTTAATAGAAACATTGTATTAAATTGCATAGTGCGACCTTGTCCTATTAAATGAATGGGAACTCCACTATTTTCCCTTTCGTTCCAATTATACCTTTTCATTTATGATTTACAGCTAAATTACTAGACTTTGAGTCAGTAATAGGAGTTATCTATAACTTGCCTGTCACAAATATGGTGTGTAATGAGTTTGAGTATCTCGGCTTATCGGTAAGTCGTGTACATTACTATGAGCAAAAAAGTCATCTGAAGATTCACTCTTCCCTCAAAATAAAAACGTTAATCAGTTTATGAATATAGGTCTAATAGATAATTTTACGCATTTTAAGGTTAGGTTGCATAACTGTACACAGTTTATCAGCTGCCAGCAGTATTGAATTGATCTGCAGCGTGATTTGCAAAATTAGACACATGTGCAACTCTTGGGTATCTTTATTGAGGAAACGTTTCGCCACAGTGGCTTCATCAGTCCATACAACGGAGAATCTTGAACAGGAGGAGAATGAGGTAATCAGTCCCTCAACCTTGAGTCGATGTGGTCAGTCCATCAATCTTGAACAGAATACGGCATATGTGCGGAGAAGCAGCTTATAAACCGTAGGCAGGAGAGGTGCAGCAGTCGTAGGTGGTGTCACATTTGTCCAGTGTGGAAGTAGGTCGTGCCCAAGGGCTAGGCAAGCGAAGAATTCCCACGTATTAAGATCCCAAGAAGTTGCAGTGTCTGACAGGATTGTAGATGTGGCGTGACTGGACTGGTGGCAGTCCCCAACGTTAGTGAGCAGATGTGATGGAACTATAGTGGTTAGGTCTGTCACCTGCAAAGTTGGCGACTTTAGTTCGCACCAATTGAAGCGGAACCTTATATTTTAAGAAGACAAGGTAATTATCATTAAACGTATTAGTACGGTTATCAAAGTAAGGAACGAATGCTAGGAAAGTATGAGGACACTGGTGGTCTGGTATGTGTACATGTCTATTAAAAAAATATGTACAGTGGACCTGAAATGATCAACTAAGTTTGTGATTCTCTCTAGACTGATTTTTTTTCTCCTAGTTAGGTTTAAAGCTTATGTGGTGAACGCCGGTTTTGAGGCTGAAATTCGCCTGCGCATTAACAGTAAAAAAAAAAAAGTTACTCATAAAATATGACTTATGAACTGCATACGCGAATATACACACGAACACCTCGGTATATTTATCAACTAGTCTCTCCTTTTGAGACTTGGTTTCTTTTCGCATTTTATAGTGAAAATATATTTTTGTAAGAATCTTAGAAAATTGTTCATAACGCTTGGTTTTTTTTTAATCTGAACGGGTGTAAGAACCAACATTAACAATCGACTTTTAGAGTTTTTTTCTTTTACCAATTTAGTTAAAAAAAATAGAAAAAAAAAACTTATTTGGTCACTGCTTATTAGTCTTCCAGCAGTTGGTGATTCTGGGTTTTAATAGTGACATGTAATGTGGATTGTGGGTAATTGTGTTAAAAGTAAATTTAATGGTCTTGAAGTTTACGTTTCACAGATATTAAAATGGGTGGACTGCTAATATCAACAGCATGGTATCCTTTAAGGAATTAAGCCGGTCCGCAAGAGTAGAAAAACTCTAAACGTAACGGGTATAAATCGTAGATAAATATTAATTTGCTAGGATATTTTAAGTGCATTTAGTGTAAATGAAAAGAAAAATTAAAGTTTCAGTGTGCCAAGTGGGATGGATGTTTTACTATTTTAGAATTAATGGTATGGATTTAGATCAAATTCAAGGCTTTAGAGACCTCGAACAGAAGTGTTGAGTGATTGGTTTTGGAGAGTGTAGCACCGGCGAATAACAAAAAAAAAGTGTAGCAAGATGTGCAAGTCAGCGTACTGAATGACAACGAGGCATGTACGTAGCGTTGTTGGCCGACCTGCTGCCTCATCAGTCAGTCGGTGGTGGAGGCGGCGGCGAGGCAAGCCACCACAAGCCTCCCTACAGAATAAATTACATTTTGTAAATTTTAAATCTTAACTAGAAGAAAGTTAGTCTTTAAGTGATTTACTGGCTTGCAAATCAAAATATATACTTCAGAAAGGAAACTGATATAAAAAAAAAATTTCAGCTATCTTGGTGGAAGTTAAGAATTTCTTAGGTCATGGAATATCTGATTTGTACGTACACAAAGGCTGTCCATGACAAGGGTGAGCTTTACAATTTTTTCCCATTAAATTTGTTGCGGGTGAATTGATGGTTTTGTGGTAACGAATCAGACCAGAAAACTTGCATAAAATTAAGGTTGACATTTAAGGTCGGGGGACACAAGGGGAAGACATAACTTGTCTGTCTTCCAAACACGCGTGTTTGGAAGAATATCAGCATCATAATGATAGTCACGCACGTACGTACGTTCCTTGTGTGTTAATCAGCGTGTGGAAAACGTATAAACATAAGCGGATCAACTTGAGATGAACCTTGTTAGCAGTGTACATGCTATGGAATATGTACTTATAAAATAGACAAACCAATAATGCCGCGAATTATAATATTTAAAGGATTTTTAATGTAATTGCTGTTATATCGACCATACTAGTTTCCCAAAATGCTTGTCATGAGGGATAAAATCTAAGAAAGCTAACTCAACATAAATAACATTTTTAGATAAAACTGATAACGTATACACAGTTATGTAATGTTATTTGAAAACAATGAGAGATCAGAACAAATAATCAGAGGCGCAGCCCTGGGGAGGGAGGGCGTAAAAGCCTCTTAGAGGCAAATGAATATTTTTTCATTTAATGACATTGTCCTTATTACAAAACCACGATAGTGTACGAAATTTTGTATATATTGAAAACAGTACGTCTTAAGATTTTTTTTCAGACTTATTTTTTAACCCCCCCCCCCATCCCTACTAAGATTATCCTGGCTGCGCTGCTGGAACTGGGAGCCAGTAATCTATTTAAATACTAGGAAAGCTTTAGAGTACTGAATATGAAGACCAAAAAGGCACAGTACCGCGACTGGAACAATACACGGATAACCGCACATAAGAGTGGGAGTGCTAAACCAGTAGGGATTATGCAACGCCTGTGGGGGGGGGGTGGATATGGAAGGCATTCAGGCTTAATTCCGGGAACTGGTGCACGGATCAAATTCCCTAGTTGATGGTCCAAATCGGACCGAAACGTAATCATAAGGTTCATTCTCTTATGTGCGGGTTATTTGTGTATGGTACTGAATATTATGTACGGGACTTGGGTGTTTTGATCTCATTAAACTAGAGTTGCCACTAGACTCGTCTGTCAATTGAGGATCGGCCACACTAGTCAGGTTCTGCCTCCCTCGTTTAATTTGTGGCGTGCATTTGCCTGGAACATACTTTAAATGCCCATAACTTACACCTTTCAATAATTTGTAGTACTTTTTATAATTACCGGGGTCTGTAGGTGTCTGGGAATTTTACAGGTGTTTTTGACGAGCGATTTAATAGGATTTTTTTTTACATTGTTTTAACATGGTACAATAGTATGTTTATTCAGGCTAGTTTTGTTTACTTTTATTTTAACTGCACAGAAAACTGAATAATCTACACGGTCAGTGAGCTTAATTTGCTGTAAAAGTAAAGCTGCCGACTAGCATTTTTTTTCTTCGGTTACCTGGAGTTTACCTGGAGAGTTCCGGGGGTCAACGCCCCCGCGGCCCGGTCTGTGACCAGGCCTCATGGTGGATCAGAGCCTGATCAACCAGGCTGTTACTGCTGGCTGCACGCAAACCAACGTACGAGCCACAGCCCGGCTGATCAGGAACCGACTTTAGGTGCTTGTCCAGTGCCAGCTTGAAGACTGCCAGGGGTCTGTTGGTAATCCCCCTTATGTATGCTGGGAGGCAGTTGAACAGTCTCGGGCCCCTGACACTTATTGTATGGTCTCTTAACGTGCTAGTGACACCCCTACTTTTCATTGGGGGGGATGTTGCATCGTCTGCCAAGTCTTTTGCTTTCGTAGTGAGTGATTTTCGTGTGCAAGTATTTTTACGGCTGAATTATATGCCATTCTTGTAGCACTTACCCGTATTGCATCTATGCCTGTCACCATTTGTGGTCGTCTCAGACTCCCTTAGTGCTTTATAGGCTATATGTAAATTTGATACACCTCTCCCCCTAGTTCTTTGTATCCAACTTCGGTTATGCCGCATCTCTACTAAGCACAGATTTTTTTTGTTGGGTCCCTGGTCATGTTGATGTACAGGGTGATGAACAGGCACACTGCTGTGCAGTCAGCAGTACATGACCTCCCAGTTTCATAAAGGTGTTCCATTCACAGACTAATTTGCTGTAATTGGTACCCACCTTCGCACCCATTGGCAACAACCTTGTCTGATCTGCTCCATAAACTTCATTCTATTAAATAACAAAAAAAGGCACAATACCGTGACTGGAACAATACACAAATAACCCGCACATGGAAGAGAGGAGCTTACGACGACGTTACGGTCCGACTTGAACCATTTACAAAGTCATACTAATGAGGTTAGGTTAGGTTCGTCAGGAAACAGGACAAATGTTTCCTGACGCGGGTCTTAGTCAGATGATGACCCGCCTTTGGAGCTTTTGGTCATCTGACCGAGGCCTTCCGCTGGCTTACCGGTCCACCCCTTTAAAAATTATGGTCATTTATCATCTACTAATGAGGAGAGCAGGATGGGTATATATAGGCAGGAGGTGGTAGTGGTAGTAGTGTGGTAGTGGAGATGGAAGGAAGTAGTGGGGAGGTAGTGAGAGTAGGAGGGGGCCAAATACATGTACTAAGAAAGAGGAGCACTGCAAGAACACCGAGGGGGGGGGGGGAACAAAAAATACAATAAATGAATAGAGAAGGAACAAATACACAGGGCAGAAGAAAGAAAAACCCAAAGGAGAAAAGGGGAGGAGAAGAAGAAAGGAGGAATCAGGTTAGGTCACGAGTGTTCTTAAGTTTGGAGCATTTTACAATGTAGTGGGAGAGGAAGGCATCTACAGAGATGAAGCTGGGACTAAGATTCATATAAGGAAAGTTGTGTATTAGGGAGGATTCAACCAGACGGCGACTGTTAAAGTTGGAAGTAGGAAAGACAATTTTAGCAGAAGACCAGTCAATAGGATGGCTGTGATCTCTGATGTGACAGAAAAGAGCATTGTTAGTATCGGCAAGCCTAACACTTTTTGTGCTCCCTAAGTCTGTCAGAAAGAGATTGGACAAGTTGGACCGAAACGTCGTCATAAGCTCCCCTTCTGTGTGCAGGTTGTTTGTTTCATTCTATTAAACCGAGTATAGGTTTCTGACCGTCTTGTCATCAATGTAGAGGTTGGGAAACTACGCTCAACCTTCTCATCGGCCACACTTAGTCTTACTCACTGGTATCTCGTGGAGAAGTGCTGTGGTCCTCTATGAGAATTGTCAGGTTCCAGCGTGTTCGCCACATTCTGTTTGACTGCCCCCACTATCAACAAGCACGCAGAATTCACCTCCACCGTCGTCTCCACTACTGCCCCCTCTACCTTCCTTTCTTGCTGATGGACCCTCTTTTTATCCAGACTCTCTTATTGACTTTTTGACAAATTGATTTACTACACAAACTCTTACGATGCCTCTAGCACTCCCCTCAGTCCTTTTTACCTCAATCTCTTGCTACCCTCTATACTATCCGCTGCCCCACTGCACTACAAAACCTAATAATCATCGCTTTCCCTCTTGCTACCCAATTTCCTTGCATCCTTCCCTGCCCTGCTGTGCTGTATAACCCTTGTGGTTTAGTGCTTTTTTTATTATAATGCAGTAGTCTGGGCAGCATCAAGGAAGTTCTACTTAATGTGATATTCTGCATACCACACCTTTACCCATTCTGATAAAGAAGACTTTTTAGATCTGTTTGATTCTGAGTTAGTTTGCTTAATATGTGCATTCCTTGAACCTAAGAGTTGGAGCTCTTTTCTTGGTTTAATCCTTAGATGCTGTTTGATGTTTACCTTGTGAATATAATAGTTGCTAGCAACAGGATGCCTGTAGTTATTAATTATAACTATTGAACTCTCGATGAATCTTTACAGAAATAATTTTTACCATATTAAGGGTAACTTAATAATGGTACTGATTTTAAAATTTTCATGTGCAGGTGTGGATGTAACAGCTAACCAGGAAGAGATATCTGACCATGAGAAGTTCCAGTTGGAGTATGATGGAGCCACAAAGCGATGGTATGTGCGTACCATGCAGGACAAGTACTGGACGTTAGAGGCTGGTGGAGGTATTCAGGCAAATGCTACAAAGCCGTGAGTACTGTTTGTTTTCTGTCTTTACTGTTGATTTTATAATGTATAGCATGTGTGTTTTTTCAGAGTGAAAAATTTTAGTTTTACTTTAAATGTTTTGTAAAGCACCATTGTATCTAGTCATTTGGAGTAATGTTGACTAATACCTTTCATTGTGGGTAGGGAATATGTAACACATGATGATCCTAATGAGCCCTGCACACCATGCATGGCTTACCAGGATATATCTGGCTGCCCTCTTTCTATGCACCTTTTGGTGCGCTGCTGAATATACAGTGGAACCCCTCGGTTATTGGCCGTAATCCGTTCCAGAAGGTCGGCCTAAAACTGAAATGGCCGAAAACCGAAATATTTCCCATAAGAATTAACCCTTTGACTGTCGCGGCCGTATATATACGTCTTACGAGGTACCGTGTTTGACGTATATATACTCATAAATTCTAGCGGCTTCAAATCAAGCAGGAGAAAGCTGGTAGGCCCACATATGAGAGAATGGGTCTGTGTGGTCAGTGTTTACCTGGAGAGAGTTCCGGGGGTCAACGCCCCCACGGCCTGGTCTGTGACCAGGCTGCCTGGTGGATCAGAGCCTGATCAACCAGGCTGTTACTGCTGGCTGCACGCAAACCAATGTACGAGCCACAGCCCGGCTAGTCAGGAACCGACTTTAGGTGCTTGTCCAGTGCCAGCTTGAAGACTGCCAGGGGTCTGTTGGTAATCCCCCTTATGTATGCTGGGAGGCAGTTGAACAGTCTCGGGCCCCTGACACTTATTGTATGGTCTCTTAACGTGCTAGTGACACCCCTGCTTTTCATTGGGGAGATGTTGCATCGTATGCCAAGTCTTTTGCTTTCGTAGCGAGTGATTTTCGTGTGCAAGTTCGGTACTAATCCCTCTAGGATTTTCCAGGTGTATATAATCATGTATCTCTCCCGCCTGCATTCCAGGGAATACAGGTTTAGGAACCTCAACCGCTCCCAGTACCTAACCTAACCTAACCCCTTTCTGCAGGCTACTTAGCCTACAGTGGAAACGTTAAATACTCTCCAAAACCCAGGCCCCTGCATACTAGGGCTTTACAAATAAACATGAGAGCACCAGAAAATACACAATAGAATACACTAAAAAAAAAAAAATTACCAAAATTACCGACTCAAACTACCACCCAAACATGATGACTTCACCCCATGACCACCTGTCTGGTACTGAACTAAACATGCCTCATCTGCTCCTGTCTCCTGGCCACTAACTGGCTGGGAATACACATTCAGATTCAGTACAGACCCGGAAAATGACATATGGAGAGTTATTTCTTATATAAATTTTACTGTACTACACTGCATAACATAAACGAAAAACAGTTAGCGGGAGATAGTGTTGCGGAGGGGATAATTTGTGAAAAGGCTAGGCAGTTGCATGCGGATCTCATGAAGAAAATGCCTGCAATGAGTGCTGCTGTTAGTGAATTTAAGGCTAGCAAAAGCTGGTTCGGGAGATTCAAGAAGCGAAGTGGCATACAGTGTGGTAAGGCATGGCTAGGCTGCAAGTTCAGGCAAATGTATGGCCAGAGAATTCGCTGGTGAATTAAAGGAGTATGTAGAAGCTGAAGGATTCCTTCCCCAACAAGTATTCAGTCGTGATGAAACAGGCCTCTTTTGGAAGAAAATGCCAGAGGACCTACATTACGCAGGAGGAAGAGGCACTGCCAGGACACAAGCCTATGAAGGATAGGCCAACTTTCTTGTTCTGTGGTGACACTAGTGGGGATTTCAAAGTGAAGCCTTTACTGGTGTATCACTGAAAATCCCAGTGTTCAAGAAAAACAGTCATGAAGAGTAAATTGTGTGTGATGTGGAAGGCTAACAATAAGGCATGGGTCACACGGCTAATTTTCCTTGAGTGGGTCAATGAAGTGTTTGGCTCAAGTGTGAAGAAATACCTCCAGGAAAATAAACTGCCACTCGAGTGCCTCCTGGTAATGGACAATGCTCCTGCTCATCCTCCAAACTTGGAAGACCAATTGTTTGAGGTTAGTTTCATCACAGTGAAGTTCTTGCCTCCTAATACCACTCCTCTCATTCAGCCCATGGACCAGCAGGTCATTTCAAGCATCAAAAAACTACACCAAAGCAGTGTTTCAAAGGTGCTTTGAAGTGACCTTGGACACTGAATTGACCCTAAGAGGGTTCTGGAGGAATCTCTTCAATATCCTCAGTTGCATAACCCTTATTGACAAGGCTTGGCAGGAAGTGAACTCTGCTTGAAGAAAATTGTGGCCAGAATGTGTCCTCGAGAAGGATTTTTAAGGGTTAGAGGCTGACCCTGATGACCCAGTGCGTATTGTGGAATATATTGTCTCTTTGGGGAAGTCCATGGGGTTGGATGTGAGGGTCCAGGATGTGAAAGAGTTGGTGGAGGACCACAGGGAAGAGCTAACCACTGAAGAGGTGCAAGACCTTCAACTGGAACAGCAATAGATTGCAGCTGAGGAAATTTCTTCAGAGGAAGAGGGGAGAATGTGCCTTCTTCAGTGATTAAGGACATTTGTGCAAAGTTTTGTGGAGAATTATCACCCTAACAAATTCTCCAGAAAACTTTGCACCTCACTCCATTTTGCACAAATGTCCTTAATCACTGAAAAAAGGCACATTCTCCCCTCTCTTCCTCCTCTGAAGAAATTTCCTCAGCTGCAATCTATTGCTGTTCCAGTTGAAGGTCTTGCACCTCTTCAGTGGTTAGCTCTTCCCTGTGGTCCTCCACCAACTCTTTCACATCCTGGACCCTCACATCCAACCCCATGGACTTCCCCAAAGAGACAATATATTCCACAATACGCACTGGGTCATCAGGGTCAGCCTCTAACCCTTAAAAATCCTTCTCGAGGACACATTCTGGCCACAATTTTCTTCAAGCAGAGTTCACTTCCTGCCAAGCCTTGTCAATAAGGGTTATGCAACTGAGGATATTGAAAAGATTCCTCCAGAACCCTCTTAGGGTCAATTCAGTGTCCAAGGTCACTTCAAAGCACCTTTGAAACACTGCTTTGGTGCATTGAAGATTGACCTCAGGAAGCACATGCATATGAGCAGGAGGAATGAACCCTAAAACAATAAAAAGAAGTCACTGTAAAAGTGGGAAATTGAATAGACAAAGGTCAGTGTATAGCGTAACCAAAAAAAAAACTGTTTCCATTTTTCCCCATGGTACTAGATCCATTGTAAACTCATTTCCCAGGAGTGCATTATTAATGTGATTATTTAAGTTCAGTAGTTTAAAGTGACAATTTCCTTAATATTGCTTTTTTTTTTTTCAGGACTTCCAATGCCCTTTTCAATTTCCAGTGGCAGCCAGATGGCTCTGTTGCTTTCCAGGCAAATAATGGAAAGTACATTGCTACAAAGAAGTCTGGTCATTTGTTTGCCAATGCTGATTCACCAGATGATGGAAGTGCTCGTTTCTACTTCTATTTGATAAACAGGTTTGTTTTTCGTGTAAATATTTGTTCTAATTTTTTTAAGATTATTTGCAGGTGTGTAATTACCATATACAGCCTCTCTTCACTTAAAACGACGGAGTTTTGTTCCTAAGACCACATCGGTAAATAAATTCATCACCAAGTGAGCAAGTGAGGAGCAGACTAGATAATGATAGTAGGTTTTTCAATATCTTTGATATTGTTTTAAAGTCACCTTTGCACCATTTATAACATTTCTGGTATGTTTTTAATGTTTGTAGAGTAGTGTATTGTATGTATTGTAATCAGAATAGAAGAAATAAATTCTTAATATACATTATTTAGGTATGCATACTGGTCAGAGAGCCCGTTGCAAGTCTGAGTCATCGGTAAACGAGTACATCAGTAAGTGAGGAGAGGCTGTATATGGAAAAGACTGTTGCACCTTGCTGAGTAGTTATACCATGGCTTCAATAGTCTCCATAATGTAATATTCATTTTCTTCAATGTAGTATGGCACTCAGGTTACTATAAAGCGGGAGCCCCCTCAAGGAGGTCCTTGATGCTGGTGAAGGAGCTTTTCATCCAATAAATTGGACTTTTTATTCCCTTTCTTGGGTTGAACCTGTTTGCCTTGCATTACTCAGGCACAGTATGATCCATTTGAGTTTAGTACTTCCCTTAAATATAATATGGAGCAGGGGAGGGGTACTTTGCCAGGAAAGGAAGGGTTCGTTTCCACTTCCCCCATGGAGATATTTAGAATGTGAAAGATAATTATTTTTTTGTTTTTAAATTGTTTACTGTAGAGCCAACAGTGAAATACTAATACATTTTATTAAAATCTGTATGCTAATCACAAGCAAAATAAGTTCCTTTGCAGTGGAATTCATTGATAGTCTTGTACCATTTCAAAAATCCTGTTTGCAATGTGGTCATGTATGCCTTGATACCCTACCCTTCAAAAGGGGATGACAGATTGATTTATTATAAGGTACAGAATATAATTTCCAGACATGTTTTGTTTTACATGATTTTCGTTTGCCATCTTAATCAAACTGATGTTGTAAATAACACTTGTATCACCTAGTGCTGTCTGATATACCATTAGTTATTGGTTCTCTTATGAATTCTTGTCATGATTTCTGTCTGTTAAGTGTCAAACCAAAATCTGTTAATGCTTTAAATTTGTGAACTTGCTAAATAACAAATTTAGGAAATCTTTACTATACGTATATTCATTATACACTTCCTTTGTATTCCCTGATACAGTAGTTGTTGTTATTCCTTATACCATTAAAATTTAAACCTTTGAAGATTATGGCTAGTTCACCAGATGGTAATAAATGTGATTAAACTTTATCCCTTAGTCGTATATGAATAGTAACATACTTGGAATATTTACAAAATATATAGCCTTTATATTTTTTCTTAATTCAATCTACAGTAGTTTTAATATTTTCTTTCAGGCCAGTGTTAGTGTTAAAGTGTGAGCAAGGCTTTGTTGGTTACAAGACTTCAAACAGTTTGAAGATGGAATGTAACAAAGCTAATTATGAAACCATCAAAGTTGAAAGAGGAGAGCAGGGCCAAGTCTTCTTCAGAGGTATGTCAAATGAATTTTTATTTCATAAATTACTAGTGGTAATTCTGTATGAAAGTGTAAAACTGAGGCTGTACTAATCTGGTAAATGCTAGATATGCCTACAGCTAGTCAGTCATCCCAGCTCTTGATTAATAATTAGCCATTGCTCCAAAGAGGTTGTACTCCACAGCAGTGTCAGCAATAGCAATATGACATTACAGGTTAAAAAAAAATTGCATTGAGCCTACATTTTTGGAAAACTGCATGCAAAATGCATCTGTGCAAATGGAAAGAACATTATTCATTTTAATTAAATTTGTGAAATTGATTTGGTAACTTATTACCACCTACCTTTTTCCAGTATCATGCATTAAGCATACTGTATGCAGAAATCCCAAAATGTTAAATCTTTCAGTGGCCAGATTTGTTTGAATTAAGTACCACCATTGCCTACATATATGCAGACAAGCCTCATGCCATGCCAAACGCTCATTTCTTTAAATATAGTTGTAATGGCATATAGAAGAACTATAGAAGGCATGCAAGTTCAGTAAATACAGAATACCCAACCTCACTCTTGCTTTAATAAATGGTATTCCGGCAAAACCATGCCTTCCAAATGAAAATGTAGGTCATGATGTATATGTGCACATTGTGAAGTGCATAGGGTGAAAACATTTTTCTGTAGTCTTAAAATGCAACTTTTTCCTAACATGGTATGTTATCAAAGAAGTGTTAAAATTTTCATAATGGTACTGTATTTTATTTAACCACATTTTCTGATTCCTATGTATTCTCAATAGGTCAGCAAGGTGGTTACTGGCATGCTTGTGGTGACGGCATCATGGCTGATTCAGAGGTTCCTGAAGGCTTTTTCATTGAACTTCGGGAGGCTACACGAATGTGTTTGAAGAATTCTTCGGGTCAGTACATTGTCACAGAAAAGAATGGAGGTTTTAAACTAGGCGACACAGAGCCTTCAAATGCCACACTCTGGGAATTCTAAGGTGTAATCATCTCTAATGGTAGAGTTGGGGTTAACCCCATTCTTGTCTTGCTGTGTTTCAATACTGTAAAGTGTGAATCGGTTATCAGCAACAATTTTAACTGTAATAAGTAAGGTTGTAGGTTAGATAGACACTGAAACAGCCAAATTGGAAATGCCCCATCCACTAATATTAGGAATATTGCAGTGTCCTGAATGGTATCGCTCACTAGTTAGTAACATGAATTTTTTTTTCTTAAATTCATTGTGTATGAGTGTTCCTCTATTCTGATCTGCCCCATTAATAAGATTTAAAATGGTTTTAAAGTACTACCATGAACTGTTTTGATCACTTGAATGTTAAAAGAAAAGTATTTTTTACAGTCCATATTAGGTAGTTAGTCATATCTGAGTGTTTCACGTAGTGCACGGTTATAATAAAGGGAATACTCAGATTAAATGTATACCCCAAGGCAAAACCCTTTTATACAACCTTTAAGTTATTAGATTGATATACGTTTAAAGATATAAACTTTTTTGATGACTGCGCACAACCAAAGTTTTTAATCTATCAGTTTTGTACAATTAACTCTGCTGATAAGGTGATGTTCTATGTAGATACGATTAATATTGCTTCCACATGTCTAGGCTAAGTCAGATATCTTGTACTTAATTATACTTTTTTACAATTTCTACATGTGACTTGTCAACCCATTGATTGGGAGAAGTGTGCTAGATATAAATTACAGGTATATAGCTATTGATTTAAATATTAGTGCAGATTTTATGGTTTTATAAAATGTGTATAGTTCCACTTCAACATTATGCACAAGATTGTCCAGTCAGCAACTTGAAGTAGCTTGCTTAGTCATTGGCTGCTGGTATATTTTTGGTCAAATCAGTAAAAACAGGTGGGTCTTGAATTAAACATTTTAATGGTGAAAACTGGATTGAACATTATGAAAACAGTGATAGTGTGCACACCTGCCTGGTATGTTGTAACACATTTTGGGTTTTAGTTTTGCTTTTCATATTTGGCACAATGCACAAGCTCACCTGTTATTTTCTTGCTTCTTAAGCTGTGTTAATCACACTATTGAAGGATCAAAGGTCACTGCTTAGAAATACATGGGACCTTTGAAATATTCTAAGTTAACTTCTTGCTTTGAAGTTCCTTTCTATATGTAAGCTCAAAACATCAGTGATGTTACAATATAATATCTGTTGCATTTTGTGGTTTATGCCCCAAAGGTTATTCCAGCAGCCTCTCTGCTCTTGGTGTTCTACCCGCAGCTTCAGGCAGCGGTAACCAGCCAATGCATTTATGGAAGGAGAGCCCCGGGCCCCGGACAGCCGAGGTGTCCT